AATGATGTCAAAGCAGCCTCCACTTCCATGGGTTGACAATTTAAATTGCGTGCCAAGTGCGGCGCTCATGAATCATGAGTAGTTGGAATTTTGTACAGTTTTTTGGGTATTTTCTGCAATTAGCTGCTGAGCTTGCATTTAATTTATATTATTAGGGGTCCGTTACAGTAATGTGCCGACTGACTTGTGACTGTCTCCTTTTCCTTCCTCACCCAAGACTCACGGCCATTGTCAGCATTCGGCATCTAACATTTGCATCAGCATCGGCGTCATCCTCGCCTCATCGTTCGTGGTGTAATTTCTCTGAGTAGGTTAATGGTGCCAAAACGTTGCAACAACAACTACAACAAATGTCTGTCGCAACGACTGTAGCACCCAGGAATGGTGCCTCATTCATCTATCTTTTTTCACAATTTTTTCTTGGCTTTGTTCTGTGTTTAGTGGACCTTCAGTTGCTCCCTTTTATTCTTGACAGAGTCATTAAATAATAATATAATTCCGAACTTTGTACCGCACTCCTGTTTCTTCCAAGCCTACCACCCAAAAAAAGAAAGTCCTTTTCCCAAAGTACTAGAATTGTATTTGCAGCATTACTATTTATTTTATTGACAGGCAGACATAAAGAGTTTTCCCTCGACTTTCCATACTCTCACCACCTGATGATATGGTGTCTTTTTATGATTTAAATAAAGAACATATTTTTTAAGATTTTTTTTTTTAATAAAACTATACCAATTTTGTCATTTACTAAATATAGAACAGATATCGAAATTTTGATTGCTCAACTTGAGGCCATATTTCTACAACACAACTATCATCTCCCACGCACTCCCGTTATGATCAATTACCATATATAATTCATCATTTTTTGTTTTTCAAATTTGGTTATTATTTTAAAATTTGTTCTTACAATTATTTGGTTTCACCCAGCAGAAGTTATCATAATTTCAGTCAACAGTTCGCAACGCAGTAAAGGACACCTTTCCGACCCTTTAAGCTAATCTCTCAGCTTGAAAGTTATATGCATAATTTTAGTGAGAACTTTGCAACGCAGTGAAGGAGACATTTCCGACCCTATAAATTACATATATTCTTAATCAGCATCACTAGGAGAGTCGATCTAGCCATGCCCGTCTGTCCGTCCGTCTGTCTTAAGCATATATTTCCCATAGGAACAATCGGTAAAACAGTATTACTTCTATTGTGAGTGTAAAAACAGTAAGAAAAGTATTGCCATAAGAGCGTGGAACTGATTAAGTGATATATTCTACAATTGATTTGTTAAGTCTGCATTAAGTACAAATTTTCTGACAAAATAATAACATTTTATTAACGAAATCATATAGCAACCTTAGGAACGATGAAATATATCCGAAAACCATCATAGCTTCACTGCTTTTTAGGCATCCGAATAAAGGAATTATAATAAATAAATATAAAGTCAATTTTCCAATAGCTGCAAGGGTATACAAACTTCGGCTTGACGATGTTAGCTTATTTCTTGATTTAGATTAGCTTCTTCAATTTTCCTTTTTCTTTTCAACAAAAATTTTATTTGTCGCCTTGTTTTCTTTTGTACCCATATATGTTATTTAACTTTTAATTTAAACAAAAACCTAAAAAATAGTTCGTTTTAGAGAAACGTAAATGAATACCAAGGGTCTCCAGTATTCGTTGTTGCTCCTTTTCGGTAAATGACGGTAACCCATCGTGGGCAAAGTGACTGCGATCCCCACCTGGATGGATGCTTTGACTGCCCGACAGCCTCGAATGCTGCTCCTTCTGCTGCCAAGTGGCAATAATTTGCTGACTTGCCCAAAAGTCGGACACCAAAGAAGAGAATACCGAAAGAGAACCTTTTACTTTGGGCTAATAAATTGCCATTGAACGACTTTGGAAGGAATTGCCACAATTGTTGCACCATAATTTCCCATCAAATTTTTCACACTCGTTTCGTTGGTTGGATTTTGGCGCTGCGAGTGCTCGCGATAATCAAATATTTGACCTCTGCCGCAAATAAATTCCCAATGCAATCGCAGGCCAGGCCAAGGAATCCAATCCAGTTGGCCAGAGCATGGTTGAATAAAGTTCGGTTAAGTTGAGTACGTGAAAGCGCTTTGCCGGTTGGCCGGTATCCGTTGGATACCGAATGCTGAACGTTGAACGCTGGCTGGCAAAACGTCGACGTTGCGTGTTAAACACAATTCAAAGTCTATAATTATTGTACAATTGCCAGCAGAACCAACAGAACCCAGTCAGGCCTGGCTCTGGCCAGGGCGAACTCCTGTTGCCGGCCAACTCAGAGGCTGGGATTTAGATTTGGATGGGGATCGAAGTTGGAACTATAGTCAAAGCTGGGGCTTATGCTGGAGCTGGGACACCAGCAGTCAGCATGCTAAAAGAAAATTGTAGCGTGTAAGTTGCTGTGAGCAGAGGTACAGACGAGCCGAGCATGCCAACACACACATTCTAATTCTACACTAGCCTCGGCTTTTGGTTTGACACACTGTTGGGGCAGCAAAATGCCCGAGTTTTAGAGATGAGTGCGTGATTTTTTGGGACTATTGTTTTATAAGAAACATATAAGCATTTACTTTCGCTTATCACATTTTATTTTAGAATTTAATGTGTTAAATATATTTACACTGAAAAGAATGCTAGAAAGCGAAATGACCTCTAAAATGTCAATATGAACTAAAATTTCCTTAAAGGCCATATATGACCTTAGTGCAATCTTAAGCTAGTTTTACTTGTTATTTGAAGAGTTCGTTGAAAAGTATGTAAAGCGTAGAGGGAAGAATTGCCTGCCCTATAAATTATATATATTCCAGACATTGCCATGTCTGTCTGCCAGTCGCTATGTCCGTCAGTTAAAACGACGATATCTCGTAAACTATTAAAGCCGGAAAATTGGGATTTAAAATGCAGAATATATAACGCCTATTCATCGAATTTATGTCATGTCACTTTCAGTTATTGGACGGTGTATGATATATTCGGTTATATCTAACCAGGCGCACATTTGCAAAATCGAAACTTTATTTTAGAAGTTACAAGCATAGATGTAATTTTTTGGATATTTCAGACGTATGTATTTTGAAATTGGTTATTTACGTAACGGATATTTAACTGTCTGGGCACGCGACCATAGCGTTTTTTCATGTTTTTTCCTAAATTTTGACATAATTACTTACATTATAGTTCCTAAAACGTACACTCATAGCAAAATGTACCCTAAAAACAAGAAATTCAACATATTTTTGTCATTAATGGCAACCCACCATAAATTCTAGGTTAAATTTTGCTAAAATTAATAGCGTTTCTTTCTAAAATCTAGGTTTGCCCTTGAGGGAAGGAAATCTTTTCTAGAATTTAGAAAAATGTGTCCAAAATTTCGTATTTCTAATGCTCTGCACAAGTGACCACCACAAACGGCAGCTTTTATTTTTCTAAGTGAATCTCCAGTTGAAGCGCCTAAGAATCGGGCTCCGCAACCGATGACTGCATTTAACTGTTAACTTTGCTCTTTCTTTGGATCTTTTGACTTGCAATTAATGCCCCAGACCTTACTGTGTATGCAGCTATTGTTGCTGTTATGGTAGTGTTATTTTTTATATGCAGTTTCGGGAAAGCGGAAGCGTTGCCCACGCCCACTTGTCAGTTAGCCATGGCCAACAGTTGGGGCGAAGGAGTAAACGGGGCGAGGTGGGAGTGGGAGTGGGCGGACGTGGCATTGGGGGTGTTTAAAAACACCCCACGCACTCGCCTGGAAAAAGGGAGGTAGATAGCTGGCGATCTTCGCCGGAGATGGCGGCAATAGTTGAAAGTCTAATTGTAAACTGTTGTTCGCACTTCTCCTAACTGGTGCTTGTTAAGCGCTTGTTTATTAACAATTTAGCACGGAAAATTCACAGGCAGAACCCAAGAATCGACTGGGAGGGGGAGTATTGGACGGAGGACGAGAGAGGGATCTTCTCGTGGGCGTAACTTATCTCCGAACGGGACCACCGAAAATTTATGCCCGTTGCCGGAGCGAGCTCCTCACATACTCGTAAAGTTTGTTAGTTTATGTGCTGACCGCCTGACCTTCCCCGCCCCTTCCATCGCCCCATTACTAGATCCCCAACACACACTACTCACATGTTTCTCGCCGATCATAACTGTCACAATGTTCGAGGCATGAAAATGGGGCGTGTTGGGTGGCTTGGATTTTTCTGTGAGTTGCGAGGGGGTGGAATAGATCACTGGGATCCCTGGGATGTGAGCGCCGATGTTGGCGGGGAAATTTACCTATTTATACTATAAATAAAAGTTACATATCAGCATTAAAATTTGTAGACAATTTTTACGTTGGGCTAAACTTTTAACAGTTTGAAAATGGCATAAGCAATAAATCGAATAAACATTCGTTAAAATTAGATTTCATTGACTTGCAAACAATGTAATCCAACATGTTATTTCATTTTACAATGCTTTTTTTAAATAATGAACAGTAGGAATATACAAATAAAATTTAACAAGAAAAGAAGCAAACTTCATATTGCAGCTATTGCAAACATTAAACATTCTTGAAAACATTAAAATTATGATGAAATAGAGTATGTTTAAAAACATTGAAGCTATGATGATTTGCAGCTCAGTAATTCGATAATTCCTATGTCAGGTATATGATATCGTTTTCCGGTTTCAATTAAATTTAAAGCGTAATTCTAAACAGTCAAATTGAGGAAGTTTTCTTCCTTTATTTATTTTTGGAACCGTAGTTTTTTGGATGTTTAATGAAAATTATGAACAGACTATCTATCATTATGGAAAAAGGTATTTGAAAGCAATACATGTTTCTTTTTAAGTCTTACAAAACAAAATGTATAATTTATATATATTAATATTTATTTAAACGTATATGCCGACTTAAATTGCTCTATTGGATACCCTTATTTAATGACTTTTCCCCAGACAACTAAGTGTAAACTAATGCTCCCTTTTTTTTCTCTTTCCAGGTAAGCTTTTGAAACATCGACGCTGTTTTGGTTATGCAAGTTGGGCCAACTACCCAACAAAGTTAAACTAATGCAAATAATTGGATAGATCGCAGCGGGCCGACGCCCTAGCTAAAAACCTCAGAGGAAACCAACAAAAATGTAGCGAAAATCGTAACAATAGGGCACTGACCGTTGCAGCCAATTTCGATTCCAAATGTAAACGATTTTCGTTTTAGTGGTCCGCTGCAGTGCTTGCATAAGTTTTGTGTGCGCAATTCGGGCTAAATAAGCCAGTGGAATAATAACGGCCGGCATGGGTTAATGATGCGACATGTTAGCCAACGAAACACAGGCAACAAGAGCAAACGAGATGAAAAAATGCGTCACGCTTACCGTTAGCATTCCAAAGAAAATTGGGTGGCAGAGGGGTGAAAAATGGGGTTCGGGAAACGTGGGGGCTCCAGCTTGCCATGGAGAACGCACACGTATGGCAAACCCCTCCCTGGGGGGTCCCATCCCAGCGTAACATCCCAACCCATCATGCATTTCCACTCTCCCACGGATCGGCTTAGATTGGCCTGGCCTCCTCCCCGCCGCCCAGCATGTGGTGCGCTCCCTTTTTTGGCAAATTTGGTGCAGTGGCAGCAAAAGCGGCAGCGCCTTTCACAAAATCTAATCAGCAGGGGAGTGGACTACCGAGGGGAGTGGTGCAAAGGAAGAGAGCAATTTAATCAAGCGAAAAATTAGCAAGGAACAAAAAACGAAGAAAATAGTTTTTTTGAGAAGTAGAACATGATATACCCTTAAGTAATTTTACAAATCTAAGCTTATTCTAAATCGGGATTTCAATGAAGATCCCCCACCAATAACACCTTGAGAAAACTTTTTTTTTGGCCGTATAATTTGTATGAACATTTTAAGGTTCAAAGGTCCTGCATTTACCATACATTGGTGAATTCGAGAAATATTATATGAATTTTTTTTTAAATGTGTTTTAGGGTCTACGCATTGAATTCAAAGCCTATAATCGTGGCCTTTGTCACAAACTTTTAGATTATTGCGGAACGCTTAAAACTTATAATACAATGTTTTCGTTTTGTACACCAAAATCTATCACATTAATCAGTAAGAGTTATAGAAAAGATGGAGCGTTACACAAATTCTATTGCAGCTATTGTACTCCTAGCCAAAGTGCATAAAAAACCCCATGACTACGGAAAAACTGGCTGCTTGATTTAAGCAAGTCAGTGGGCGTTGTTCCGCAAATAAAGCGGTACGGGAGGAGGAAAGTGGATAAAAGTCTTTCAACATGGAAATCTTGTTACGCTGCCAGGCAATTCTAATTTTGCAATCCTCGGTGCGTGTGAGTTTTTCAACAAGAAAAAAGAAAATAGAAGGTGACCAGGAGATAGATCCGCTTGCATGAGCAAATTTGATACCATCTGTGTACAATTAGCTGTCAATATTGCGCATGCGCCACTTATGCAAAAGAAGACGGCAATCCACGGAGGGGAAACTATCGGTAATGGCGTTCGGAGGTAAAACAGCAAAGCAAACAAAAGCAACTGGTGACTGACTCATTTGCTTAAAATATTTTACAACACGCAACACAAAGTCAACAACAACACACGCAACTATGTCTGACAAATACAGTAAAAACATTTTGGCAAGATTCAACAAATTATAAAAAAATAAATAAGCAATTCCTCAAAAACAGCATGTTATCGATATCTTACATAGTTAACTATTATAATTTTTCTTTTTGAAGATATTCTTTCCAACTTAAAAATAATCAATTTGTCTTTATCAGAAGCAAGAAAAAGAAACACACTTTCTCAAATGTAAATTTGATCTCGCCAACTTTATAAAAACAAATGCTGGTTAAGAGTTTATATTTTTTATAAGGTAGGAAAAAAAGTTAAATTTAAAAAAAAAGGTCGCAGCTTATATATTGTAAGCAAATTTCAAAAAAAAGAATGTCATTGCAAAGTTTTCGCTGGCATGGCATCATCAATGTACCTCAAATCGTCACTCCCCATTCCCCCAACTAGGCCAAATGTATGCCTATTGGCCCACACCCAGAGCTATGGAGGCAATTGCAGCTCTTATATAGATATAGACACGACGGCCATAATCGTAGAAGGATTAGGCAGAGCCACTAAATATTTTTTTGTCGCTTGCTCCACATTTGGTGCGTTGGGCAATTTCAAAGGCGGACGAAAAGTCCCAGGGCGAATGCACTTGGGGTGTTACATAGCTGTTGTTGCTGCGGTGTACAAGAAAAAATATTAATTACAACTGGATATATGCGACTGAATTTACGTACCATTTTTTATATGAAAGTATGAATATCTTCAAAAATATCTACGAATTGGCTAAATTAAGTGCTGTTCATATTGATCAAAATTTAAAAAAAATTGTGTCTGTGCAATATAACAAAAGTATTGGCACAAAGGCGCGTGAGTGAGTATATTTTGTTTTTTTTTTTGTTTTTTTTTGGTTTTCTTCTTATTTTTTTTTTACAACAAATAATAAACAATGGGGCGTTCCCGTTCGCCTCAGCTGCAGGTTGCAACTAAAATATAACATTCGCCAAAATTCGTGCCTTCCATATGTCGCCAGAAAGTGGCGCACTTCGGGCCCAAGTTAAAGTGGCCCAAAAAAGCCAAATCCGTTGTCGTGGAAACCTCTCGAAGGCATTTCGCTCGGCTCTCAGTGAGGGTAAATCAATGAAAAGTGTGTCAGCAGTGTGTTAACATGTGAAGCGGGTAGTGCAGCCAAATATTTTTATGCTGACAGCGAAGTTTTATATAAAGGGGAACAAGAACAAGTGTGCCCCGAAATAATTCTATATTATTACACTGGTTTACAAATTTTAATCGATGAAATCCTCCAGCGATCAAATCTTGATTTTCCGGTGCAGATGGACTCCATGATTCAAAAAATGGCACTACAAACTTTTTTGTAGAATATCATTTTGTTTTATCGTTTTTAACCTGCTTTCACGCTCATTTTTTTATATCCAGTTCTGCTTTACTGAATTCGGTCATCGATAGATACTTCTTCAACTTAGCTACAAGTAACTATTGCATAATAAAAATATTTTTTAAAACATCTAAATCTTTAACATTTTAAACATATGCGTATATGTTCAAAAATATTAAAGCTATGGTGACTTTCACCCCATTTATTAATTCTTTCGTATGACAGCTATATGATATCCTTTTCAGATTTAAATAAAATTAAATGCGTAGATCTAAGCTATTAAACCATTGCTATGTGCATAAGACATAAGAAAAAGGAAAATTAGAAAAGCTAACATTTTTTTGCATTTGTGTTTAATATTTCGATTATTCCCTTGTTAATTATTTTTTAACCGTAATTCCAAAATAATAAAACAACACTAAATATCGAAAAACTTAAAAAAAATTAAATAATATCAAATAAATGTTATCACTTTATCTTGAAGATGGAACATCACGAATCTACTAAGTTATTAACCTTATCAGGCGGACATGGCTAAATCGACTCTCCTAGTGATACTGACCAAGAATATATGAACATTATGGGGCGGAAATGTCTCCTGCGTTACAAACTTTTGACTGATATTATAAAATTCTCTTTAAGAGTATAAAAATATATTAAGACTGTGCTTGGTATTAAAATGTTGTACCATATTTCAAGAAAATTTACTTTATAAGAACAATATAGCTTAAAGTTTGAAATGTTGACCCAATGTTGTAGGTAAATGTTATCAAGAATACCTAAAAACATGTAAAAAAAAGTCAGACATAAAAAGTCTAAAGTACTCATCATCCTCAAAACAAAACTAAATACTTAATAAGAACAGAAGAGATCTTGGTCCTCACAAAAAGTTTAATGGTCCCCACCTCTGGTCCGGCAAGTTTTCAATCCACCGCCTTGACAAGAACACTGGCCAAGAGCACTCCTCCGCCGCGTTCCCCCCGGAGACTTGGAGGTGGGCGGGCTTATGAGTGGCAAATGTCTTAGCCCGGGTGGTCCGCCAAGTATGTTAAGTGTCTTCGGAAAATTGTACGATCATAACTCAATAGCCGGGACTCATTAGGGCCAAAAAAAAGAAAAAAGCCAAAAACTCCACCGAACCGCAGACAGATTGCTCTGAGCGGTGAAGTGGCGTCGGCGTGTGCAACAGTAGCCTCAGTTGTTTGCGCTTCCCCCGCAGCAGGCACACACATGCTTGGATGTATACTGGAAACATTTAAGCTAATGCCCAAATCATTTTCGAGTTTCCACTCAAAAAATGGATCTCAATTTCCTCCATTTGGAGCAGGTGAGTCAACCAGGGGCCCGACAAGAAATTGCTGCCCAGAATCTTTCGTCACCGCCGACGGTCACGTCAAGCCGTGCGGTTAATGTCCGTTAATCTTCCGCCTTCCCCCAGTTGTTTTTACTCATTTTTCGTCGGGAGACCTTTTTTGGGAAACTTCTAATCACCTTAGAACACGCTTTATTATTGGCTAAACTAGTTACAAAACGGTTTCCAAAGATGAGCATTAATTATTGCCAAAACAAAAAGAAAAAGGAACTCTGGTCGCTCGACACCAACTTTGTTATAATCTTTGCCTAAATATTATGGTTTTAAACAAAGTCTGAAAAGCCATTGTTAATGGTCTACATACAACAGTTATATAGGTGTTCTGTATAAGAAAACTGGTAAAAAAAATAGAATGGTAAAAATAAATATCTGACTACTAAATTTAAAATTGTATATTAAATATTAAAACTAAATAAATTATTAAATTACATGATTTATAAATTTAAATTTAAATTAACGTGAAAAATATTAGTTTTAAAATATTTCCTATTTGATTTAAATGCATTTTATTTGAGTTAAATATGGTTTAAATTTTTAATAAATTTTTACATATTAAATCAAACCCGAATATTTTCATATATTAAATAACTCAATACCGCAATGGATGAAAATCAAAGTGGAGATATTTTAATTAAATACAAAATATTTGGATTTACTCCGTTTTTAAAGCAGCTGGAAGAGAATATAGGTTTCTGAGACAGTTTTTGACTTATTAGAAGTTCTTCCCGACTCAGATACAATATGGGCATTGCGAGGGTATTATATTTCAGTCAGAAGTGAAGGAGACATTCCCGACCCTATAAAGTATATATATTCTTGATCAGCATCACAAGGAGAGTCGTCCGACTGTCCGCCCGTTTGTACGCAAATAAGTCAAAGCGTTGGGATTTGCGCCATACTGCTTCACATTTTGCTACGTTATAAGCCCGGATAATAATTCAAAGAAATATGTTTGCAATCAAATAATTTTTATAAACTATACCTTTGAGCTCAACTTGATCAAAAATTAAAAAACGAAGTAGAATGTTAGAAAAAAAAGACAAAAACCAAAAAAAGTATAAATTTATTACCTTGTCTGAGGCTTTGAACCCGGAATCTTAATAACTTACCCAATGTTTCTTGTTCTAAGACACTTACTCCCTAGTCCAATCATTTTAAGAACGGAATGTTCTTTTTTAAAGAACGGCGTTCTTATTTTGAGAACATTTTTGAACCAACCACATTTCAAGAATCAATTAAACTTGATTCAGGAACATTATAACATTTTGTACTCAAAAGTTTCGTTCTTGTTTAGAGCACATTTTCAACTCAGCTGAGAACATCAAAATTCTCTCTGTGTAGTCGTTTGATCCGGCTCGTTCCGACTCTACTATTGATGCTGATCAAATATATATATATATATATATATACTTTAAAGGTTCGGAAATATCTCTTTCACTGCGTTGCCAACTTCTGACTGAAATTATAATACCCTCTGCAAGGGTATAAAAAGAAGTCAAAACACATCTAAGAAAAAGTTGTAAAATGTATTATCTGATTTCATCTGCAAGGATTGATTTTGTGGGAAATGTGGGTCAGAAAAAATTATTAATATAGTGGATTATAATGCTTCAACTGCAGGCTTGGGATCACTTTGGCTCAACTGTAGCTTAGATTTCTGAAACCTTTCACTGGCTATCAATAAATCTCTGTCTGCGATGGCAGGCGGCGATAAAGACAAACGGCCTGCCAATATGAATTAGCTAAGCGAATTGGCCATTTGGCAACTTGGTAAACAACTTCCCGGAGAGAGCATCCCTCTAGCCCTTCCCAGCCCGAGTCCAGTATCATCATTATCATTAGTACGAGTTTGCGCTTAAGTAAAATAATTGGCGAGCAGAGGGGGATAAAGGAAAAACTGTAGCAGTTGATAAATGTTTACCTTGATAGCACAAGCGAGAATTCTAAATACTCTGAAAAGATGGCTAAAGGAATGAGGGCCTCGCTTTGGTTAATCCATTTTATAAATTACCGCTTATCTTTGCTGGAAAAATTAGATTTATTAAACTAAAGCTAAATACAAGAAAAGGTATTAAAGTCAATGCATTACTAATTAAATATCGACGCATTTTTGAGACCTAAATTCTATACATTTAATAGACAGGTGTCTTTTCACTTCTTAGCATGCTTAACTAATATATTTTATAAAGTAGTAAACTTTTTAAAGTTAGAGTATCCCGGTGAAATGGGCAACTTGCATCCTGGCTAGCTGGAAAGGTCAAAAAAGTTCAGCGGCGAAGCAACGAAATTCCATTCATTGGCCATCGGAGAAAGAGAAAGACAGGAAGGAGGAAAGGCTCATTGACGATGTTGTCGTCTCGTCTGCAACTGAAACCGTGGCTTGTGCTTTGCCTTTTCAACACGCTTGGCCAATAAATTGTAACCAGCACTTGTTGTTACGCTTTTAACGGTTTGGATTCGGGTTCGACTTGAAGTTGTAGTTGGAGTCGGAGCTCGGATTCAGGTTCATGTCCAGGTACGGTTTCAGCCCCTCTTACTTTACATTCCTCTTGGCATTGACCGTGGCTGTTGGATGAGAGTTGCCCAGATCTATTTTTGCTTGGCAACAAAATATTTCTCTTGTTCAAATTTTTTACAGGAAACTGAAACTGCTTAGCCATTAAAGGCTGCCTCCGAAAAAAACATATTGCTGCTTGTTTTTTGCAGGCAACAATAGATTTGGCTCATTCGATTAGACTTGATTTAGCTGGGAAAGGGGTTGGGCTGGATCAAAAGATTTAGCTTTCAGCTTTTTTCATGGAATTTCCGCTCCATTCGTGATGCTTTTTCTGCAGGCCCGGTCTTTTCTCTACCGTTTTTCCCATTTCGATAGCATCACATTGGCCTGGTCAGCTACTGGGGGCATAAGTTGTGCATGTTTCTATTACTACTTTATTGGGTCCGATCGGAATTTGTCAAATCATCGAACTTGCGCGG